GTAAAGAAAAAAGCTGCATGCAGGTTGTGTACTTGTATAGTTACACCTCATCAGGTACTCACAACTATATATGGCCTGCATAAACCTTTTAGAGTATGAAGAATGAAAGTGAAACTCAAGTCTGATTTCTTGAATTAAAAATTTGAGTATCAGTGACTATTTCACTACCGCAGATCTTGTATTTCTTATACTCCCAACAGCTGAAAACATGACTTGCACATAGTTATCTTAAAAGCAGCTGTTTCAGCTCTGTGATGTCACAAACTGAGTAGAGGAAAAAAAAAGCAAAATTGGAGCTTATCAGCTATAATGTCTGTAAGCTGATTTGCATAATTCTTTTACATGTAATTTTCAGTGATGTGAGCCATTTCTTTGGTTGAGATGCATGTGCAGAGTGTGGTGGGAGAATTTTCTCTCCTGTGAAGACAGGAATAGTGCAGTTACTTTAGTAACTTAGGACTTGGTGGGACTTATTATGCAAGTAAAACTGCTTGCCTCAAAGATTGGCATTTAAATCTGCAATCATTACCTTAAGATTCCTCCAAGTTTAGCTAGTAACATGTGTATCTTATAGCATTCTAAGGTAGTTGTGAAAGACTGAATCTCAGCTGTATAACTTGATACAGCATGTGTGTGGAAAAAGCAGGTTGCATCAAAATCATTTGCATAAATGGACTTGTGTCATACTTCTTTATGGTCTCTAGGTCAAAAACAGGCCGCCATGTTAATTTTTTTCTCTGTCATGTATTGTGTAGAATCTATGTATAGATTATTTTTAAAGAATATTTTTCTTTAGGGCATAGCCTGTAAGTGACTATATTCATATAATACGAACATTCAATAGTTACTGTATATGTAGTTGACACTGCAGCCTGGAAAACACACAAATATCTTTCTGTGCTTTCTACTTCAGTAGGCAAAGGTAGAGTTTTTGGAGCTGAGGGACACTGTTTCTGTTCCTGACAGTGTTATTTTATGTGCTTGTCAGGTATAGACTTATTATAAAATGACATTTAACTGTCTCGCTGTAAGGTGGGGAAAAAAGGAAGCTCAATTGTTTTGAATTAGAATGACGGGATGCAAAATTACAGTGAGGATGAAAACTTCTCAGTGGGACTTTGCCTGGAGTATTTCAATCACTATTTTGTATAAATATTGTTTTACGTCTATTTCACTTTCTATGAGAAAAAATACAAGCTTTCCTTCTGGGTGCATAAGTTGGAGGTGTGTATACATGTTACATGTGTTTTTAAATAGTCTTGCTGAGCATGATTAATTGCTTTTTCAAAGAATTTTTCAAAACTTAAGCTTTAGACTAATCGTAATACTGCCCTGGGTGTTAGAAAATGAAAATAGATAGCTGGGAATTTAGGAGAGTGCTTTTTTCAGCTTCGTAAGTGAAGGCAATTTTTAACTGTAGCGGAGCAGCCAACTTTATAGAGCAATTTAGGATGTCCACTTGATATGATAGTACATTTTCTAAAAATAGATCTATTGTAATTATAGTGTGACAGATTGGATACCTAATACTTTTCTAAAAGGAAATTGCTTTGCTTGGTTCTATTTTTTTTTTCCCCCCATCTCCAGAGACCCTATACCCTGTGCAGAGATGATGGAGCTGCAAACAGGATTTTTCACTTCCTAATTGTGTTTTCAGGGGTGGATTTAGTTGTGTTTTTCTGCCAATGGACCAGCACAATGAAGTATTTATTTATCCTTTTGCAGATGACTGGTCTCTCAACCGAGAGCTCCTTAAAGAAGGAGTCAAAAGGGCAGTGGAATTAAAATTTCAAGAATCATCTCAATGTAGTATTGCCTAGCTTCATATAAGAAGTCTTCCTTTTTGTTTTGTGGCAATTTAGTTTTAGAATTATTTACTTTTTTTACCCCCGTGACCCAGTTAATTTTTTGTTGTTGTCCTGAAGAGCCACCATTTTATATGGTAAACATGTATCAGTGAGTTTGGCCCCTAGGCATCCTTCACAATTCAGGAAATTGTGCATTTATTCTTTTATTTACAGATGGCAATGCATCATCCTTTGTGAGGGGTTACTGTGAATAGATTGCTATTCCCTCTATTACATTTTCCACATTTAATCTTAAGGAAAAGGTGATTAATCCCTTTCTAAAATTAATTCTTTCTGTCATTGTCTTAATGCACAGCTGGATTAAGACAAATAATTGACAGTTTTAAAATCTGCCTTGCTCAACTACATAAGGTGGTTGTAAATATGTGAGCAGTTTGGCTTTTAGTTCTGCTTCTTGGGCATAGTTACACCTTAGTGTTCGGTAGGTTTCTGTGTACTTTACGCCTTCTTCTGTCTGTTTAATAAACAGCATTTTGCATAATAGAACTGTTGTTAGAAGATGTCAAGAAAGGTAACCAGTCAATTATCTTGGTTTTTGGTTATATAAAGCATAAAGCGTTGCTGACAGATCAATTTGATCTCTCATGTAGTGTTTCTTTGTAGTTTAAAAAAAAAAAAGGTTCAACTTTACTTCAGAACCCTCTGTTCCAAGGTGGAATGAGCACTTGATGTTGCTGTTTAGCTGGTGTTTTCCTTCCCAGATGTGTGCTATCATGAAAAGTACAAACATTCCTGTAGGCCAACTCCTTTCAAGTTTGGACATTGCATCAAACACTGTCTTTTATCAACCAGTAGGAGAGGACTAAGGGAAATGGCTAAGAGGTAGTGACAGGACTGTGTGCCTGGTCTTCTCACATGGTCACATGAAAAGCCTCTGACTTGCCTGTAAGGTTAGCAGGCTTTTTTTCAAGGCATGTGCTTTTCCTCTGAGAGTCTGCGGATAGCTCTTCTGTCAGATTATGACATTTCTATGTTATCCTAATTATGACGCCATTTGAAAAAGCTTCCAGACTTTTGTATTGAGTTCTTTCCATAAAGTATACGAGCAATGTATGCTTTCAGAAGGTAAAATACTGCAATTAAAATTAGTATGATTTAAACTATATACTTCTGTTAGTCCTCACAAAATCAGGCATCACCCATTTGTTTGAGGATTCTTTTTGCATGTCCTTTTATGCATGTGCAAAGTGTAATTGTTCAGCTGTTGTAGGTAGATATTATTTCTGGCCAATCCAGATAATTTAGGTTCCTGATATAAAAGAGTAGTTTATCTTGTGTTTCCTTCACCTTCATATCTGTTTGAAATAAGTAAAAAAATGTCAAAATGAGCATTAGTGAAAATATTGCCCCTCAAATGGGGGCTGGTTAGCTCAGTGCTGATAACACCAAGGCCGCGGGTTCGATCCCCTCTCAGTCCCCATGCGTTGCCTGATCTAGTTGAGAGGCGTCTCTGCCCACAACAGGGAGGTTGGATTAAATGATCTCTAAGATCCCTTCCAGCCTAGGCCATTCTATGAAATGGAAAAATCTCTCTTTGAAATCAGTGGGGAAAGGAAGAAGGAAGTGGAAAGAAGTGCTATAGGGTTGGTTGGTTTTTATTATTGGAAACAATCTCATGAGGAAAGAGCAAGGGCTCTTGAGTAATGTATGTTTGAAGAAACTAAATCCTTTTGATAAGATTACTACCTGTGTGTGATTCTGAAGCTTTAGAGATAATTTTGTTTTAAGTTGAGGAACGGGGATGTGGGTAAGTAGGAAAAAAAGTACTCAAGCAATTGAGTCCAATTCCCATGTGCACTTGTGTCACTGTGTGAAGTGTGCTTCCTGTAAGTGTGTTTTACTAAGGAATCTGAATTTTGGTTCTCAGTCAGTTCTCCCACGGGCAGTTCTGCGAAGAATGAAAGTTTACAGAGGAGCATGAAGCATTTGAAACTAAACCAAGTGTTATATTAAACTAAACTCCTCAACGTTGCAGGGGTCAATTTCAGAAACCAAATTCAGGAACTGAGACAGTGTGTTTACACTGTTAGATCGGTCATTACTAATGTTTGCCCCTTTAAAATTACCTGACCTCCATTACTTTCAAGAAGGAGTCCTTCAGAGATGTTTCCTTCCTAACCTTTTCACGTGGTGGTTCCAGGGTGGGATTCTGCGGCGCGTGCTGCCCTGCATACCAAATAGGCGCTGGGAGATCTGGCGTTCTTCACAGTACCAGAGCAAGCCTTGGTGCTCTGCTGTTCTGTATTTAGCAACAAATCAATCCAACCTCTGCAAAATCTTAAACAAAAGCAATGAGTAGGCTTCTCAAAACATTTTGTAAGGGGTTCGTATCTTGCCTTGTCTAACTGCTACTTGGAGGACAGAGTATTATTAAGTTTTCTTATGAAACTTTAAAAGTAGTATTAAAAAGGAAACTGTGCTTCTCGGGTGAGCAGTAATTTGTAATTGTGTGACATGTAAAATGCTGCACTAGAACCTTATATAGGTTTTACTGGAGCAAATTATCTTTTAAGAATTTATTCCATCTAAACTTGAAAACTAGAAAACAGTAAATATAAGGAATAGCAGAGGTACACACCACCAGCAAAGCCTGAAGTCTAGATCAGTTGTTCAGCCTTGCTGGAAGGTTTCAGATTTTGACTTTACTTGAAACTTGGGGGGTTATTTTATTAGTTTATAGATTGTGTTGTGTCTCCTCCTTAAAGTGCCTCGCTGAAAAACGACAGAGGATGCTTGTGACAGTTGGGGTTTGTGTATATTTGTTTTTTTTAAGAACATTAAATACTTGAGGATATGGAACTACTAAATTTAATGCCTAGTACATTTTTGAGTTGAGGTGAAAGAATACAATCCTTGTTTTTGTGATATCTGGTGTGAGCATGAAGTTATTATATTTGTAGAATTTTAGAAGACTGTAAAGTCTTCAGTCATTCTTTGTCCTTCTATAGTTAGTTTCAGTTGATGAACTTCCTTTGCTATATATCTTCAGGTTCTTATGTTGGACTTGTGAACCAGGTTTTAGTTTTATTTCATTAAACAGCAATTCTAATGGAGTCTGGCTTATGTCTTAGGTAAAATGAAAGTGTTTCAAGATATTGCTGACACACCTTGTGTTTTGCTTGTAGATACATCCGACTATATGGGAGGAAATTTAGCAGAGAAGACCACGTGCTTTTTATCAAATTGTTGTATGAGTTGGTAACAATTCCAAAACTAGAGATCAGCATGATGCAAGGATTTGCACGCCTGTTGATAAACCTGTTAAAGTAAGTACAAATTTCTGCTGATTACTGGAACTTTCATCTCTAAGTAATTGATCATTTACTTAGTGTTGTTACATACTTTAATGTAGTAGTATGTTCTCTTACAGGTTACTTCACTTAATCCCCACTTTACAGATGATGCTGGTTAAAAAGAATTCTCATGGTGTGAACACCTTGCCCCTTTCAAGTCTTTAGAAGTGGTATTGAAAGTGAAAGGACGTCAATTTTTTTTCTTGTATTAGGAAAACATCTTGTAGAGCCAAATGTTAAAGTTGAATCTCAATTAGGGAGAAGATGAAGACTGTCTCACAGCTTGATAGTGTTTATTTCACTTAGTCAGACTTCTGAAGGTCTTGACAGCGTCTGTTCATGCAGAAACGCTGCAAGTGGCTTGCTTTTTTCTTGCCTGACCTTCCTGCAGTTTGTGCCAAGTGCTGGAGATGAGCATAATTCAGAGCAGTGATATGGGGTGTTCTGATATGCAGGATGTTGATGTAAATGTTTAATCTTGAAGTGTTCACCGTTTTTTGTGTTTTGTTTTTTTTTTTCTATTAGGAAAAAAGAACTGCTTTCCAGGGATGATCTAGAGTTACCATGGAGACCACTTTATGAAATGTTGGAAAGGATATTATACTCCAAAACAGAACATCTCGGATTAAATTGGTTCCCCAAGTAAGTTTGTCATTTAAATCATTTGACAGGTTATAAGTACCTGTAATACTTGGAAGTACTTTGTAATTTGCTTTTAGTATCTGAAATTTGATACAGAGTAAATATTTTACTTACATTTTCATGAAGTATATTTCAGTAATTACATGCAAGACTACTGAATCATGTATATCATTCTGCCAATGAATTGTGTTTGTTATAATGTTTCTCTCTTTATGAATGTTGCTGAGTTAATCTCCAAATATGCTGCAACAGGAGTCCTCATCAATTTATTGTAAATGGTAATGCACAACTTAACAGATTTAATGTTAAATTTTTAAATTATTTTTAAGTTAAATGTATGCCATTCTACTTTATAACACAACAAAGGTTTGGAGAAAAAAAAAAAGGTACTGTTCTTATGTATAAGTATTGTAATTGTTCCTAGTATCTGTAATGTAGGCATGCGCATGGAGTATAACGAAGTACCTTCTGTACAGAATATATGTATTTGCAGTGACGATATAATATGAACAAATCAATTTTTTTCTTCAGTTAACAATTTTAGAAATGTTCTACTGATTTTAAAAATGAAAGCTTGTTTTCTTTGCGCTGCCAATCCCTCCCCATCTGTCAGCTTTCCAAAATTACAGTTTTCCTCATCATTCCAGTTAGAAAAGGTCCTGCTCTATAACTTACAGGTTATAAAAGAAATTGCATGGGTAATGCATGATGCTTATTTGAATTCAAACTTCATGTAAAGAAATGCATGTGAAAATACTTAATTTGCTTTTAAAAAAATAGTTTTCTGTCCGGTCATATTGAAGTACTACTGCTGATTCCTTTTATTGAGTGGAAGATCCTGTTACTGATAAGTGACGTGAGCAGAAAACGTTTGTAGCCTCATAACTCTTTACTGAGCATTTTATGCTGAATGTCTCATAGCTACATAACTGTAAAAGGCTAAATTGCATTATTTTGCTAATAGTAGATAATACCTTTAAGTGAAAATCCAAATGAGCAGAGCCTTTTTTAGTTGGTTTGTTCTATGTGCATGCCACCACCTACTGAAACTCTGTGACCTTTGCTATGTGGGGATGTCATCGAGTCACTTTTAATTTACTGTGGGACAAACTTGCATAGTGGGGAAGGGGGCTTGCCAAGAAGGAAGAGGAGGTTAAGCTGGCAGGAAAATGTCAGTTGTGATGAGCTGTCTGAAATGTTTAGCTTTTATTAACTGTCAGATATCAAACACTCCGTCTTAATATGCAGTGCGATTTCTTCTCATACGGTGATTGTTCTTTTTTTGAACTTCAATTTTTAGAGGTATCTTTTTGGTGGAAGATTTTAAAAGCTGATTAATTTGATTTATAGCTGTTAATTTGACTACTGTTAATTTTTTTATTTTTTTTTTTTTTTACATTCAGTTCATATCGACCAGGCTTGTCTTCACCTAAAACATTTGTGCTTAATGTATTACATAGGTGGTAAGAATGACTTTTTGTTCTTTTCAGCTCTGGCCGATGTGTAATCTTCTGCATGTTCTGTTAGATTGTAACACTTGTCACACAGGTGTAATTTTCTGCATAAATGATTGTATTGGAAAAGCAGTGTTAACATTACACCACTGTTTATGAGAATGTCGCACTGTATGTAAACTTTTCTAATTGGGGAACAAGGTAGCGCTTGTGAAGTGGCTGATAAAGTATGCTAACTAATTTAACCAGCATATATATATTTCAAGGGTCAAAATAAAGGTGAAGTTTGAATAATCGTTGTGTCTGAATAGGGATGAAATCAGTATTGATGTAGGAGTGCATGTTACCGAGTAAGTGTACCTTACTATTAAAAAGGATGAAATCATGGAAAGTGCTTTAGCGGTGAGGTAATAGGTTCTGGAAAATACACTCTGCAACAACATTGGAGCTGTGAAGTGTGAAACACAGTTTCTGTGTTGGAAGAGGTTACTGTGAATTTTTGCAGTGAAAACGGTATCAGGAGTTTTGATGTATATATAAATTCAGGAAACTGATATAAGTGGAAGTGGAGTGGTTTTTTTGCTTTATTTGGGGCTTTTTAGGAAGAAATTTTTAGTTGTGCTAATCCGATGAGAGACTGATACTCGTCTCATCATAGTTAGAAATTCGCTAAAATGACGTGTGAAACCATAGCTGGTTGCTCTTCTTGTTGTCTTAATTTAAACTCTTTTAATGGAGTGTCTGCTGCAGGGTTAGAGTTTCACTTAAGGCCTGAATCTGTTTTGAAAATTGTGCTTTTACTGCTTTTTGATAACATAAGAGTCAACAGGGTCAGTTTATAGGTTATTTGTTTTAACTGAAACGTGGTTTTCTTTGAAAATGCAGGGGAGGGGAAAACCAGATTTACAAATTAATATGATCATGTCATTTCCAGAAGAGGAATATAATCAAGTAGCGCCGAAACGATGACTAGTGATAGGGCTTAATATTGTGATATGTTTTTTAATATATCCTTGTAGCAAGAGGTAATAATACTTATAATAATACTAATAATACTTCAGGTAATAAGGAGGAGCTAAAAGCAAAGAAAACTGAATGGGATGAGAATTTTTCCTCTCTTTAAATCATAGAATCATAGAATGGCTTGTGTTGGGAGGGACCTTTACAGATCATCTAGTTGTTTCAGGAGTTAATAGGAGTTGCCTTCCAGTGTAATTGGCTTCGTTAACTCTTCATTATGAAGGTTTTAATATCTGACCCAAACAGTCAGCACTAACCACTGAAGCAAGAACAGGAGCACGAACTACAGCAGGCTGCTCCAATCTGGTGTGCTTTATGTATGTAGTTGTTTGCTGCTGTGCTCTGTTAATCCATGACTAAGTTTACTGGTAGAGTAGCATACAGTTGGTGACTGTGGCAACTACAGATATTCTTGAGCAATTGTGCAGTCCTGAGTATGCAGAAAGCCCAACTGAAAGAGCAGAAGCCACTGCTGAAAAGCTCGAGAGAGTTTGTTCAAAGTGATAATGAAAACAGTAACCAGCAGTCTCTTGATCTCCCCAGCTATATTGTCCTGTCCTCTAACTACTAGACATCATATGGGAACCTTACAAGATGCCTTCTGTAGCTGAACTGTTTCTTAAATGGAAGTTTCCTTATGTACAAAATTGCTGGTTTGGTTTTTTCTTTCCTTTCTAGCTTCTATATCGGAAGATGGGAGGAGACTTCCCTTCCAATCTTTCTCCTTTGCTCTCTTCAACTAACAAATGCTGAGATCTGACTGAAAACTTGTGAATTTGAGAGACTTGTTAATCTCTGGCATCAGTGTTTCTTAAAATGCCTCTGTCCTTCATGTTCTCCTGAAGTTGGCTTCAGTGGAGTGTGACAGTATGGGGATAGCTCTTTTTGTTTGTTTTGTCACACAAATATTTTTCATGTTAATCTTTAATACTCTTGAGGAATGTTGCTGGTTCATGCTTTATTTATCTACTCTTGGAACAACTGTCATTTATTTCCTAACTCTTTCAAGAACAATTTTCACTTTAACCCAGATTCTTTATGAGCTTCTTGTAGAGTTTGATCTTGTGTTTGTTAATGAATGGTTGGCCTTGCCTCTTGAAATTTTAGAAGCTGTCAGTCAGCTCTGAATTTTAATTCTGGGAGAATGGACTGACTTTTTCACTGTTGCATAAAATGTACAGGATTTTGCATCTTCTAGAGCGCTGACTGAACTGAAGTAGTGTTATGGTGGGCTTTTGCTGTCTTGCAGTGAATGTTGAGGTTTTAAAGGGAAATAGTGGTTTATCCATTTCATATTTCTCTTAACTTGTACAGGATCCGTTTATTTTGTGTAGGATTAGAGAGCGTGTGTGCATGCTCAGTAGTTGTGTGTCTCAAAATTAATTGACCTAAACTGATTTTTAGTAAAATTCTAATGATGATACGCATTCTTTCTGTTAAGAGTACAGAAATTACAAATAAAAGATACAGGAAGTTCTTCCACCACTACTTTTCCCCCCCCCCCCCCCCCCGAGAATGTTTTTTTTCGTAAAAGTGAAATGTAGTCTTGAGCTCATCTTGTAATAAGCAGAAGATTTGAGGATGTGACAATTTACTATCTTTACGATTCCATTGATCAATCTCTCTCTCCTCCCCCTCCCTTTAATTCTTTGAACTTTAGAGGATTAGTCTTTTTTTAAGTGGTTTGATGGCATCTGGTGACAATTTGTGTTATAATGATTTCTCAAATAATTTTTCTTGCAATTAATGAGAACATTTAAAATCTGCTGTTAATTGTGAGGGAAGCTAATGGAATAACCATTGATTTTTCAGATGGTTAACTTCTTAACTTGTAAGAACAACCACTGGACAAAAACCAAAACCAGATTGAAAAGGATGGATATAGTGTTTGTTTGGAGTCTTAATAACAACAACTTTTTGAAGTCTGTTGCCATTATTTATCTTACAAATATTTATGAAGTCCATAAACTCATTTTTTTTCTTTGTGTTTTCAACTTCCCAAGAAGTTACCTTGCTCTGCTGCTTGGTCATGGATAAGATGCAGGATGTTACTTAGAAGAAATGATAGTAATTCTTCGCTCTTGACTCAAATGCAGTAAATACTAGAGTGATATGTGAAAATTAGAACCAGCAGTTTAGCAGAGCAATTTTAATCATTATGATTCGGTCTATGTAGAAGGCAATTAGCTACTGCATGTTCACAGAAGATGTCTAATTGCATCAACATTATCTTAAGCTCTAGAGGGAAAAAATCAGCAAAGAGTTATTTTATGCTGTTGTTGGAATCTGGTAATATACTGTCCCTAATGCTTCCTTTCTTGTTTTAGTTCTGTAGAAAGTGTTCTGAAAACACTTGTGAAGAGCTGCAGACCGTAAGTGTTTATTGTTGTTTTTAAAGCCTGTATCATTAGCGTTATTATGAGTGGGGGGGAAAAAGATTTTAAAGAAAACCGCTCTACTAGTCATTTTATGGCTGATGTTGTCCCAACTCATTTAAGAAGTTTGAGGTGGAGGGTAGATACTTTTCCGTCTGTGAATGATCAATACCTCGGGTTCATAGGAAGCTTAAAATAAAGACAAAATGACAGGATTGTTCTGTATTATAATATTTAAACAAAGTGTAAGGCTGTTGTTTGGGGGGGGGAGTTATTATTTTTGTTTTAACAGCCTTGTTTGAAAATCTGTTGATAGTTAAGCCAGGATGTCATTAGATAAGGCTTTTGCTCCTCTGTGCTGTTATACTCACTTGGGAATGTGTGTGCCTGAACCAGTCTTGCTCTCTGCACTCGCTTGCTTTGTGAGCAGCTTGAGATACTGCAAAGATGCAGAGGAGAGACTTCTCTCTTATTTACCGTTCATACGGCTGTTTGTAGTTATCGTCTGCTTTTGTGGGAGCAATTGTTTCACATACTGGTGTTACTCCATTGAGCATTCCTAATAGTAGATGCTGTTCTAAACACATACTGTTAGCATGAGGAACAGAAAGGTAACATTATACTTCTTCCAGTTATGTCTGGTTGTGTAGCTAAATAAACCCCCTTAGTTTTCAATGTTGATTTTTCTGGTATCTGTTATGAATACAAAAGTCACTGAAGCAGAGTGTTTTAAAAATGAAGATGTAATATTTGTCTCTTGAAAATTCTGACTGGAACACGGATAATGTTACTTCCAATCAGCCCCATATCATCTGCAATAATTATGTTGTATAAACAGCTGTATTGGTGTGCATTTTAAATAGTGCGTTGCGTGGGTATTTATTTTCTTTAAAAATGAATTAAATGACTAGCATTCTTGTAGTGTTATGATAGAAAAGGTTTCTTGTGACTCAATAATCATTTATGTTGCATCAAATGTGAATAGTAGTTGTTTGATTTTGACCAGCCTTCACAACAGAATAGTTTTGCATTGTACAGCAACTTTTCTGTGGTCTTAAAATGATGTACCACAATGTCCTTGATTTTAACTCTTGCTTTGTGAAGGTTAACTGGAATTGAGGACTGCTTGTCTGTTGCCCTGGGATACATGGTCTTACTGTAAAAAACTAAGATTTATGTCAAATTAGTAGGTAGTTTTAAATATGTTTTTAAAAGACCCAAACTTCCAAGCTAAGCCTTCACATGTTCAGTTGTGTCGTTGTTTTCAGATATTTTCCAGAAGATGCCACTGCAGAGATGCTAGATGAGTGGAGACCTTTAATGTGCCCATTCGATGTCACTATGCAAAAGGCTATTACCTACTTTGAACTGTTTCTACCTACTACCCTTCCCCCTGAACTTCACCAGAAAGGTTTCAGGTAAGTGTAATTGAATGTCTGTTGGTTTAGTGTTCTGTTGCAGATGAAAGTAGGTGTCTTTTACAGGATGACGTGAAGTCGGTTGAGCGTGGTGCTGATAAAACCAAGGTTGTGGGTTTGATCTCCGCTCATTCCCCATGTGTTGCCTGATCTAGTCGAGAGGTGGCATCCCTGCCCATGACAGGGAGGTTGGATTAAAATGATCTCTAAGGTCCCTGAATGCAGTGCACTTCAGTTCTGAAGGAATATTCTCAAAAATAAAAATCATTAACCATAGCATAGTTTTAAGACCTACCTTCTATGTAATTTGGAGTAGCTTATGATGAGTCCTTCATGTAGGTTAGAGTACAGCTGTTACTACAAGTATGGGGTTGTTGCTTTTGCGACATTAAAACTATTTTGATTCTGTTCTCTTGCAGGCTTTGGTTTGATGAATTTATAGGCCTTTGGGTGTCAGTTCAAAATCTTCCCCAATGGGAAGGGGTAAGTGTTTACTTTTCACCTACATTAGAAGACATCCATTCCTGCAATGTGCTTGCAAGGCATTAAAGTCAAACAGTGATATAGTGGATTTTTTTTTTTCCTTCTGCTTTAACCAGTGCAGGAAAGAGACAATAATTTCATTATCATTAGTAGGCAAGTGCTGTCTAGATAAATGAGGCTGCAGTTGTGCTTGGTGAACATTGTTTAATAGCTAACTCAGGCAGCTTTTCTTTCCAACTTTGGGAATGTTGGTATTTTCCAGACTGCCTGCTAATGCTTACAGTGATGCAAAGTGGTATTATGATTGCTGTAAATTCTAATTCTGACAAGTCCTGTCTTTTCTATCTTAACACATCTTTTGTGATACCTAATTTTGAGTAGTAATGCTTTGCCTTGCCTGCAATGGGTTGTCTTCATCTTTTAGATACAGAACCTGTACTCCCCTTGGCCAAAAGTACCACTGCGCTCTAGCTTTCAAGGAAAATAGTCTACTATGTACCTTTCTGCCTTTTTTGTCTCTCATATGACTAGATACAAACTTGAGAAATAAAGTAAAATCTCATTCTTGGGACACCACCTCAAGCAGCTTAGGTTCTGTTGTTTGTTGACTTGTGCCTTGGCCTTACTACAGTGAAGCATGGCATGCTACCAGATTTTTTCCATACTCGGTTGGTATGGAGGTAAACTCCTTGACCATCCGGCTCTTTTTACTAATCTCATTCCTAAATACACCAGGAGGACTTCTCGGTGTCTTTGGAGAAAGCTGATTTCCAAAACATTGCTGAATTCTACCTTTGTGGCACGTTCAGTTTCTGACAGTTTCTTTGTGAAAAGGCTGTATGTATGTCTTTCTGGTTTGAGTTATATTCCATCACAAATAGAGGAAGGCAGTCTTTGCTCCAACAGTTGGCAGTTTGAACAGGGGCGATTGCCAGAGTTTTATCTGAGATTGTCTGTAGGCACTTACTCATCTTTCTGATGGCTATCTGAAAAAATCAATTTTGCCTTCTCTTTCTGACAGAAAGATGACAGGTTGCACTTGAATACTATGATTTAGTTTGTTTCTGTCAAATGATCTAGCAAGTAATCATAAGCAGCCTTTCCTAAGTTATCTCCGATATTTTTTCCTTCTTCCACTATATTCTGACAGTTTGCTCGGAAGGCCCAAACATTTTTGTTTTTTCCCTAAAACTTTGACTTCTTGTTTCCTTTGCTGTCTCGTCCACTTCTTAAGGGCAGGTTTCTGCATTTCATCAGGCTTGGATGCGGAGAGCTAGACATATGGGTTCTGACTGTGGAGTCCAATTTAAGCCAGCCTCTGTATGCGGGCAGCTTTTTCTCAGCTGGCTTTGGCAGGAGATAGACTTGCTGTTTGAAGGGAAGCTATACAATTGATTCACTTTGTGCATGTTAAGGGTTTTTCGTCAGTGAGTATTGCCTAGTATCAGATAAAAAGATAGATTATATAAGAAAACATAATGCTTGTTTTCAGACTGTGTCAGATGTGGCTGTCCTGAATTGAATTTGTGGGCTCTCCAAAGTTATCATATCCTTCAGACTGAGAGGTGAACTCTTCTTCTGTAAATATCTATCTCTGAATTAGGCAGGATTATTACAAGCCCTTCCTTTTGGCTTTGTTGTGGCCTCAAGATTTGGATAAAGGCATCAGGGTTCTTGGAGACCTGATAGGTATCTCCCTGTTTGGACAAGCTCATAAAAAGAGTGTTGGTGGATTACGGCTTTCTCACGATCGGGATATGAGAGTGAGATTTCACCTCCTTTTTTGTTTAGTCCTGATAACTCTTTCCTGAGGACATCTTTCAGTTCCCGTTTGGACTCATGAGACTGTCTTCTGGTGACAGGGTATCTAATTCTTCATAGATAGTCACGCACTGCCATCCTGTGTGACAGCTAATGCCTGTGGCCTTTGCAAGCCACAGACGTGTATAAACCAAAGCTTAGAAATGTGACAGCCATCAGCATAGGCAAGTGCACTGGAAGTAGGATGGATCCTGCAGAAGCTAAATAGTCCTTCAAGATGTGTTGGTTGATTTTTTTTTCGATGTCTATATATAGATGCTGTTTCAGGCCAGTATCCACATCTAGCTCGCACAAGAGCTCTGTGCTGGTGAGGAAGCACCATGAGATGAGTTGATAATCACAAGCGCTTTTTAAGCTGCTCCAGCGCAGTGACTGTGGGATGTGTGTGTGGTGTGTCACTTTCTGATCAAAGTTGTCAAGAACTCGATGATGCATTGGCAGCCAAAGGAGATAGCACAGAGCCCTCTCCCTTGCCCAACAATGATTTGTCTTTGGATACGTGTTTATTCTCTTCTCAAACCTCCTACCTTCTACAGAGCCTCTCTGTCTTATTCTTCCATGTAAGAGGATTCCTGATGTGTTTGTTGGTAGGGTCATATTCTTCAGAATATTCCTTAGGACATTCTCCAATCCAAATAGGCCGGTTTACAAAGGCTATCAAGTAAGTAGCAGGTTTCTGTTAGAGAAGTTGGTGAAATCCCCAAGCCTAGAGCCTATTCTGTTACGAGATTTTTACTTTGCCTAAGCTCTGTTGTAGGTTTGATAGGAATCTCTCTTCTGTCAGCTGAAGTTTGTTCCAAACCTTCAGTATAGAGGTGAATATTCTGCTACACCCAGCTGATAAAAGGGTGTAGAATTTGAGGGACTCTGAAGCCTAGTGCAGGTGTCTTTCTGTAAGCTACTGCCAGGAGTCTTCTGGTCTGTGGAAGCTGTGCAAAGAAGGGGGGGAAGAAGTTCAAAGCTGCTCAAAAGGGGAGCAAGTGCCTCTTAGCAAAAGCTAGAGTCTTTGAAATCATATAGCTCAAGTGTAAGGTTGCTCATTTACTGATCTTCAGAGTTGTTCTAACAGTAAATGGTTGAAAATTAAAATGGCAGTGAATGCATTCTGCCTTTCATGATAATTTGCATCGGGAAAGGGAGAGTGTGAGTATGCCTTCCAAAAATAATATTACTTTACATTAAAAATAAAAATAAAAATTGGAGATGGGGTGTATGTTCTGACAGGCTGGCACTCCCAGAACTTAGATCACCATTACCTGCTTTGTAAGTGCTCAGATGAGAACCGAGTTGGACTCCTGGAGGTGGGAATTCAGATGCGTTATGAAAAATGGTCTTGGTGACTTCTGACAGAGTGAGATCTCCCTTTGCAAATGCTTTAGTGCCATGGTAGCTTTTTTTTGAATCTGTAGATTGAGGAGTTTCTGCATCTTTTATTATAGATTAATGAATGTTTTTTTTCTTTTATGATTGTTTTCAGCATCTAGTAAATCTTTTTGCTCGCTTGGCCACTGACAACATTGGGTACATAGACTGGGATCCGTATGTACCAAAGGTAATATTTCTTGTTTGATGAAATTATTTTGTTTGCTTTGAGGTAAGCCTTCAGTGTTACTATGCTAAGAATAATTCATATTCTATGCTGTCTTATGTGGCAGTGGCCCACTTTGTCAAATCAGGTGCACTCATTTAGACCTAAATTTAACTTTGAAAATTTGAGCTATCATTTTGTAACAGACAGCGTTGAAGTTGTTACTGCTGTCACCTGAGTTAAAACCAAACCAAAGCAAAAATGTACCTTTACTATACAAGTGCTGTCTGATTCTGTCATTAATCCCCTGTTCTTGGGCAAATGGCCATTAACGATAATATTTTGATAAATAGTCTATAAGAGCTTTGAATCTTTCAGCTTGTGGGTTTTTTTAAAGTTTTTCATAGCATTTTTTTTGATTAAAAAACCCAAAACAAAACCACCAAACACCTTTTAATTTATGACAGTTTTAAAACATAATTTAATAAATTTATGCCATTTTTTCCTTTTTTTCAGATTTTTACCAGAATTTTGAGGAGTTTAAATCTTCCAGTGGGAAGCAATCAAGTTGTTGTTCCAAGGTTCTTAACGAATGCTTATGATGTAGGACATGCAGTAATGTGGATCACAGCCATGATGGTAAGTAACTTTTTCAAAGTGAAACAAACACCAGTAGAAAGCTTTAGGCAAGTATGTATTTAAAAATATTTGTTCCGTTTAACTCACTGCAGAAATGTATTTTTAGGCTATCTTTTGCCCAGGATTTGTTTTAAAGTAAATCATTTCACTGTCAGTTTGGAATATGGATGGAAAAGCTTATTTCACAGTCACTGTCCATGTCATTCTGGAAATGAAGAATCAGCTCCAAGTGCCGCTGTGGATACACACGTGGGACGTGCGGAACAACTGAATCAGTCTTTTAGGGTCAACCTCATCAGATCAGATGGGGAGAGCTTGTTAATTAGTGCTGAGCTAAGGCTGGGAAAGGGAAGGAATTTGCAGATGTGATTTGATGCTTTGAGATGTTATTGGAGTGAGTGCAAGTGCTTGCTTGTACCTCGTACTCCCGTGTTACCAGTTCTGTGTAGTACAGTTTACTGGTTTATTTTTTACAGGGTGGACCAAGTAAACTGGTACAGAAGCACTTGTCTGGATTGTTCAATAGCATTGCCTCTTTTTATCATCCTTCAAATAATGGGCGCTGGCTGGTGAGTTTCTTGCGTATCAGGTCAATAACTTTGACTGTAATTTCAACAGTCAGACTTGTCAAATCTATCAAACATATTGATAGATGCAGTATGTGCTCCAACAGCTGGATTGTCTGTTGGTTGCATAATATTTTGAAGCTTGTCATTTTAATTTACGTGATTGTACTGTCATGCAAATCCATACTTTTATTCTTATGTTAAGACCACAGCAAATAGGAGTATTCTTCAAAGATCTAACCCAAGTGTGGTTTAGAAGTCCAAAACTTTCATATATAGCTAGAAAAAAGGAGTCAGCACTTTAAAAGAGGGTGATAAGACAGCACCAGTCTTACTTGTGTGACATAGCCTTTGTATTGCTGACCTACTGTCTCCAAGTTAGCAAAAATCTAGCTTTGATTAACAAAAGCAAAAAAGATCTTTAATGCATATCTAGTTCAATGAATGTAGCTCGTGGAGTCTTCTGCTAGAGAGTGTGAGAGTTTTCCTGTGATAGCTGGCACAAAGTACAGATTAAAATAGCAAGGCTGGTCAAAGCAGTGCCAAAGGAGCTGGCTTGTTCTAGAATAGGATATTTGCTTACATGTGAATGGGCAGAGAGAGCTTTCAAAGACGTCTTAATTACTGGTAAGTCATCTTGATTCTAAACTGTAGCGTTTGTATGTATTTTTCAAGATTTTATTCAAATCATAACGCATAGTGCTTGCAGCTTAATTGCTAATATTTTGGGAGCTGAAGTTTTAATGACAAATTGTGAACGCTGTATTTTAGAACTCTTCTGAGGTTTGTGGGGTTTTCTTATTGCATTTTTGTAATTTCAAGATATTGGCTCACTAATTGTCTGTTGTACATTTAGCAGCTCTGATTCTGCTACTGCCAAGTAATTCAATAGCATTTCTTGTATATCCACCAGAACAAGCTGATGAAACTACTTCAGAGGTTACCCAGTGGTGTTGTCAGAAGGCTGCATCGTGAGCGCTACAAGAAAGTGACTTGGTTAACTCCTGTGCCTGATAGTCATAAACTTACCGATCAGGATGTAACAGACTTTGTAGGATGCATTATTCAACCTGTTCTTCTGGCTATGTTTAGTAAAACTGGAAGCCTGGAGGCTGCCCAAGCCCTGCAGAACCTTGCACTGATGCGTCCTGAATTAGTAATTCCACCTGTACTTGAGAAGTAAGTTCTGCAGAAACATTACAACTTCCCTGTTCCCTTCCCAGCATGTAAATATGCAAAGCAGTCATGTTACAGGATAAACAGCTTCCTTGCTTTGAATGCAGGGAGAGGAGCTGCTAATGCATGCTGCTGAGCAATCACCTGAGCCAGGACAGGCAGGGAAGGAGGGCTTTTTTTTGATTTTATTTGTTCTGCTTTGGTTTTTTTAGACACCTGGCAAATAGAATAGTTCTGGGAGCTGTTCATAGCTTGTGCAATGTAGGGTAGTCCTCAGATTGTATTTGGTAGTGTTTTTAGCAGATAGTGGGTGAATCAAGTTGAAAAAGCAACTTAACCTTTATTCAGGAGCCACCTTGTGCCTTCTCACTAGCTCTCCGTTGTGCCAAATGTAAAGGTGGTATTGTGTGTTATTGTAGTAATAAGTGTTTTATATTTGTTTTTTGTTGGAGTATGCTACAGTTACAGATTGTTTAAAATTAACCATTGCTTCTGTCTTTATAAGCAAATAAGTACTTGCCCATGTGAAGTACTTAGTTTGTGTTAATACTAATGCCTTAGTGCCTGAAATTCCAAAAGAAAAATGTAACTCCTTCCTGACCCAATGAAAAACTTTCTTCATAGTTGCTGTCTGTGTTCCCCCTCCGATGCAGTCTTTTTACTTAACAACTCGCATGGTAAAAACAGTGGAAAAAATAGGTTGTCTTGAAGAGTGCTTCCTGAGTTCCATACCTTACTGACTCAACTGTTTGTAAAAACTTGATAAATCTGCTCATACATGAAAACATTTTGAGCGTAACAATGCTAAGAAGGACAGCAGTGGACACCTGCTTTGAGTATGACAACTTTTTCTGTTTCAAGAGCAGACTGAATGTCTACTGACTAGATCAAATTATCACTGGCATGTTTGCCTTGGCTGCAGTTCCAAATTCATTTTGTTGAGTAGAAGTAGATCCTTTGTGCTTTGGATGATGTAGGGCAGGGGGTAGCACTATGACTCTTGTTTGACATGTAGGTTGTTGATAACTGCAGGAAATTATGCTAAAAAGTCACAGGGTTTGCTATAAAGTATTTATTGTAGTAAAAAAAAAATAAAAATCATAGTAACTTCACAGGTTTTTCCCTTATCTATTTAGAGCAGTCAAGGCAAGTTTTCATGCTTGCTGCAAGAGCCTTACACTTTTAATTACACAGCTTGAGTTAGCATAAAGTTCAATCATGAAAACAATCACAGCTTTAAATCTAGGAGCGTGTGCAGTTGTTAATTCCTATGCTGCAGCTGTTCACAAATTATTTAGTTGTGAACTTGTGAATAGGACTGATCAAATGAAAAGAACATTTCCTAATACTGTGATGCTAAGTCCATTAGGAAATATTTTTTAAAAATTGGAGTAATTGATTAGCTTGAATTTGTCTTGCAGAAAATTTCTGTTCTTTCTGTGAAAAACAACATGTGCAATCCACTGTTATTTTCTCTGAAGACTTGAGGAAACATTAGATTTTTCTAATATGACTTATCTTAAACTTCACAGAACATATCCTGCACTTGAGACATTGACAGAACCTCATCAGCTCACAGCTACTTTAAGCTGTGTCATTGGTGTAGCTCGCAGCCTCGTGTCTGGAGGGAAGTGGTTTCCTGAAGGTCCGACGCACATGCTACCTCTGCTGATGAGAGCATTGCCTGGGGTGGATCCAAATGACTTCAGCAAATGCATGGTGAGTGTATAAATCTTGCTGCATTTTGATTTTTTTTTTTTTTTTCCTAGAAGGTCACTAGCTAACTAGTTCTCTCTGAAAGCAATTTTTTAAAAATATGTATTTGTATGAAAGGAAGTAACTCTTGTTTCCAGAAACTCTAAAGTAGATTTTGTTCCTGCACAGTTTTATTTGTAAAAAGATCACATTGCAAATCTCTAACTTATCATAATGCTTTTGGCTTATCAGACAATACAAAGTGAATCTTTAACACCAGATTGTGATAAAAGTTGTACTGACTCTTGTGGCAGCTCTGAAAAACAAGATAAAATAGTTGTTTCAAAGCTGCTAGCAAATACTTCTTGTCTTTGAAGATGAGTAAGACAACCTTTATTACTAGTTTTTCATTAAAGTATGTCCTAAAAGCCCCCATCTTCAGGAATTTGTGTTATTTTATTCAAACAATGTAAACCTTACAAGGTTTTTATAACTTTGAAGTTCAGCACAAAGAAAGTTACTATACTCAGCAAGTCACAGTGCTAACTGGTAAGTTTTATACACAAAGTGAGAAGTAGCTATTTAAATGTTGGAGTGGAAGAACTACGCTCTGGAGTTGTGGGGGGTTTTTTTAATGTGATGTTTTGCTTTAGCTCTTATACCTTAACTGCAAAGGCTTTTTAATGTGTATAGCACAGTAACACCTCCTAAAGAGCTCTTTGCAACTCTCAACAGATTACATTCCAGTTCATTGCAACGTTTTCTACTTTGGTGCCTTTAGTAGATTGTTCATCTGTATTGCAAGAAAGAGATGATCTTTCAGAGGTAAGAGTACTGTGCAGTTAATAAAAATAAAACTATAACCTAGATTTTAGTTGAACTTCTAGCAATATAACAGTCTCTTCAGAGCTGTAGCAGGTTTGCTGCTCTCTCGTATTTGTAAAACTATGCTAAAAAAATGAAACAAACCCCACAAGGACTATGTTTGATTCTGGTAAGTGTGGTAGAGCTAGTGTCAGCATGCAAACTGACCATGTATTTTTAGCGTTCTTCTTGGTCATAGGTTGTTGTAATGTTAAAAAAAACCCCACCTGATTAAATTTATGTTAAAACTTAGCTGCACAAGGTCCTGCGTAGTGCCATTTGACCCTTAGCTTGCCTTGCTTTGAGCAGGGGGCTGGACTACGTGGTCTCCAGAGGTCCCTTGCCATTCACATTTTTTCTGCATCGGGTGAAATACCAGCTTTTTTACCATTAAAATTTTGAAACTTCTTGTCACTGTAAAACATTAAGGTAACAATAATGAAAACAAAACAAAGCAGTTGACTACAATGTTTCTGTAACCTGTGTTTATGTCATTTCTAAATCAAAACTAGTCCAGCTGAGAGTGAGATAAAAGGTGGCTGACTGGAAGGAATTTGGTCTCCTGGTTTTGAAAACTTTGTATGTAATTTAAAAAACACAAACCCCACCCTCTCCCCTCCATTTGTTTGTAGTTATTTTTTTAAAAGCTAATGCACTCCATTAATGTTTCAGGGCACTCTGGGATATAATTTCAAAACACTCACGCCTCTTTAAAGTTTTCCTGCAGTCATGCTTCTCCTTTCTGATCAGGATTCTATTGCTTGCTCCTCAGCTGCTTGTCAGTCTCTTCCAGTCAAGAGATAGAAACATCATTAGCCAGGGACTGTCTTCTCTCCCTTCTGTGTTTTATCCTTTGCTGCCCCTTTGCTGTTAGATGTGGTCACCCCAGCTATTTGCTGCTTTGGGGCAACTAAATGAGGAGTTTGTACGCTGAATGTTTAATGTAAATGTGTCAGCGGAGCCAAGTCTGCCAGCACAGCTGGCACTCGCTGACCTCCTGCTGGAAGGGAAGATGAGTAGTGCTGCCAGAGCCTGTATCCATGGAGGCAGACCCAGTTTCATTCGAAGAGGTGGTTTGGCTAAACATCAAAGCCAGGAAATCGGACAGGATGGTGTAAAGAAACTGGAATAATAGTTTCAGGTAGTGTATTTAAGAATGTACAAGCTTTGAGGAATGCACAGTAGTATATATAATTTAAAACTATTGAAGTAGTTAATGTAGGAAATAAAGTTTATATTCTATTTCCTTAAGAAAAGCCAACCTTTTGTGGATTTTTCTTTTGCATTGGAAAACCATAGGTGGAAAGAGAATTGTGCTCTGCAACTGCTGAATTTGAGGATTTTGTACTGCAGTTTATGGATAGGTAAGTAAGCTAAGGGTAGGTGAAAGCTTGGCATGAAGAACTTAAAACTTTTAAGTTCCACTTACTAAAATTGTATTTATGTATTTGTGTAGATGCTTTGGACTTATAGAGAGCAGCACACTAGAACAAACCAGAGAGGAGACTGAAACTGAGAAAATGACTCATCTAGAGAGTCTGGTGGAATTAGGTCTCTCTTCTACCTTCAGTACAATCCTTACTCAGTGTTCAAAGGACATTTTTAAGGTATGTAGAATATGGGCTTTCCATTTAACTTGAAGAGGCTTAAATTTCTGTTGTGAATGACTGATGCATTCAGATACTTCCTTCCTTCCTGGTCTTGTTGTGAACATCCATGTTTAACCAAGGAAGGGACTGCAAGAGGGAAGTTTAGGACATGTTAATTTGCTTTATGATATACTATGTACGCCAGCACAGAGTTCTTTGGTTCTTGATGCTCTTTTAAGAGAAATCATTCTAACAGCCTAGTTAATTGCTTTAGCATTTTAGGCTGTGATTTTTTCATGTCTTTTGACGGTGGTCCTAACCTACCCAAACATCTGCTTTCCTTTTCTCATCCTCTCTCTGCAATTTATTCAGCTGAGCGAAATAAAGTTGTTCAAGGGGCCACATGCCTAATGGGATCAGAAAAATTATCTGGATTAAAATAACTCTGAGGGAAGGGGGTAGAGAATCCATGTTGTGACATGGACAGATTCTTTCCTTGTAGACTGGATCAACATCTGTTAACGTTACATTACGCACGTATTTGGAGATGCTAGGTTTTGCATGTTTTGAGGCATTGCATTGGACACTGATTTTGTCTGGAATCTTTTGGTTAATGTAAGTTTTAAGTTAGTTCTTCATTGTAATTAAGTATTTAGTGTGTATTTTCCCTGATTGTGTCCCACTGTGTCACCAGTTAAAGCACCCAGTGTGTTTTGTTACTAAACTCTCA